TTTTTTTTTTTTGAGACAGGGTCTCTCTGTAGCCCCAGCTAGCCTGGAACTTGGAGACCAGACTGGCCTCAAGATGCATCTGCTTTTGTCTCCTTCCTGAGTGCTAGCATTAAAATAAAGTGCCACCACGCTGTTTAGTCCTTAATTCTGAAAGGACTCTTTCTCCATCTAAATACACTAGGCCAGATGTGGTTAATACTTTCCTGCAACAGAGGAGGATCAGAAATCCAAGGTATTCTCAGCTATATAGCAAGTTTAAGGCTAGCTGGAACTATATGGGACCCTGCCTCAGAAAACAAAATTTGTAAGGACTCTACTTTTCATGGCCTTTATTAGGCAACAACTGAAAGCTCAGGCATGGTGGGGCACACTAATTCCAGCTTTTGGGAGGCAGAGGCAGGTTGCTCTCTGTGAATTTAAGGCCAGCCTGGTCTATATACTGAGTTCTAGGCCATCTAGGGTTAGTGACACCTCACTAAAAAGGCTGTTGACTTTAGGCATGTTTGAAGTCTTATTAACACTTGAAACAAATTTTGTATGATTTTCATCACAATTATTACATAGTATTCACTTTAGGTAGAAGGAAAGAGGAAACAAAGTAGGTAGTGTTTCAATCTAATTAGATCCTTTAAAAAAAAAAGAGTCAAGGTCTCCCTGTAGCGCCAGTTGGCCTGAATATCAGAGGGATCTATCTACCTCTGCCTCTGGAGTGCCAGGATTAAAGGTGTGCACTACCATGCTTGGCCCTAGATCAAGAATCTTATTTGTTCATTGCTGAAAATGTCTACTCTTCTCTGCTCTGTCTTTAACATCACACATCAGACCAATGTAAAACCTATCAATCTTTACACAAATGCTATGTCTAAATTGCATTTAAACTGTGTCTAAATGCCTGGGAACATAAGTCTGCCAACTACCCTTTCCTTACATTTGCAATCAGCTCCATGACACTGTTCTTCAGATAGACCTTCTCCAATCGAGACATATTATTCCACCGAAACCTGGTCACAGAAACAGAAAACCAACAAAATCACGTCAGAAGTCTTCTCTTTATAAGAGAACATTTGTGATGCCCACCTTACTATTTATGCTAGATATTTCATTAAGAAATTATATATACTGTTGAAGACTGGAGAGAGGGCATAGTAGTTAAGAGCCAATACTATTCTTCCAGAAGACCAGAGTTCAGTTCCCAGGACCCATGTGGGCGGCACAGAGTCTGCAATTTCAGCTCCAGGGGATCCGACATCCTCTTCTGGCCAACTCAGGCACACGCACATACTCCCACACAGAAATATACAAATAAACATAATTTTAAAATTATACTTTTTGATTTTATACCCTTCAGAAAAGACAAGTCTACATTTTGTCCATTAATTAGCAGTCACATGATTTGTGTTAATAAATTGGCTTTTCTCTTTGATTTTACAGATAGCCCAAAAGCAAACAGCCATCTGTCTACAATGTTGCTTTCTTTTATGTTGTTGATTTAAAAAAAAAAAAAAAATTTTTTTTTTGTTTCTTTTTAAAATTTGGTTTCTTCAGACAAGGTTTCAGTCTGTAGTCCAGGCTGGCCTAGAACTATGTAGCCAAGATGGGCCTTTGTGGCCCAATCCCCCTGCTTCAGTCTCTGTAGTGGTGAGATTATAATGAGCTACCCATGCCTGGTTGAATGCTTAGCATGTATCACACACTTTACATAGATGAATAAACTGGAGGAAGAGCAAAAGTCCTGCATAGACTCTTCCATAAGGTTCTGGTAACATCTTAGGGATCATTCTGTTCTTTTCTAGTCATTGAAAAGCACCTTTATAAACCTACAGAGGTTTATGGACAAGAATTAGAGTTGCTCTCTTTAACAGACTTCAGTGGTAGTATCCAAGAGCTCCTTACTTGACAACATGTTCCAGGATCTGAAGACCAAAATGTCTGACGATGGCAATTTGTGTTTTCTCAGCCAACCTCAAGCCACATGGGACACAGATAGGGCACTTTTCTTTAAACTCTTCACAAAACTGAAAGAAGAAAAGTTAGTATTTAACTGGGCAACAATGAGAATGGAATCTAAAAGCCCTGAAGAAACTCCAACCTTAGTTGGTTTTGTGTGCTAAACAAGCACTCTACCACTGAGTTACATATGTACCTCAGCTTTCCCTCTCTCACCTTTTCTTTAGTGTGTGTGGTATGTGAGTGAGTATGCAGATGGAGACCAGTACTGACATTGGGTGTCTTTCTCTTCATCTTATTTTGAGAACCTGCAACTTGTGATTTGGCTAGACTGGTTGGTCAGCAACCTTAGGGATCTGCTTGTCTCTTCCACCCCGGTACTGGGTTAAGGCATCGAGATCTGGAGTCTCGTCCTCTGGCTTGTGCAGCAAGTTCTTCATTCTCTGAGACCTCACCCAGGCCCCTTTTTCTACTTTTTGGACAGGGTCTAAGTTGCCCACGCAGGCCTTTAACTTTTGAACCTCTGGTGTAGCTGGGATTACAGGCCTGTGCCACCAGGCCCATTTCTTAGCTGTATTTTTAAGTTGTAAAATATAGATTAGTATTTTATGGCTATAAATTGATAATCTCTCCACTCTGATGGTTCTGAGCTTTCTGTGGTGTGGCTAATAGTAGCCTCGTTAACACTAAGAAATTGGACCTATAAGAGTTTTAAAAAATGATTTAAAAGATATACCCATAGGAGTATAATGGCAATTCCTAGACTTAGATTTAAAAACTTTGGGTGGAGCCAGACAAAGTGGGGCATGCCCTCAATCCCAGCACTCTGGACCAAGAGGGCCTCTGAGTTCGAGGTCAATCTGTCTACAAAGAAAAAGTTACAGGAGAATCAGAACTACATAGTAAGACCCTGCCAGAAAAGAAAAACAAACAAAACCTCAAGCAAACAAAACAAACCCGGGTGGGGACCAGTAAGATGGCTCAAGGGGGTAAAGGTGCTTGTTGCCAAGCCTGTAGATCCAAGTTCAATTCCTGGGTCCCACATGGTGGAGTGGGAGAACCAACCCTCACAGATGTCCTCTGCCATGTGTGCACCCATACACACTCATACAAATAAATACATAACTGGGTGGCAGGAAAGATAAATAGGAAATCTGTAAACCATCTGAATTTCAGTTATTTGCCTATTTAGGATCATTGTGTGGTCTATTTTTATGACTATCTTATATGTGTCACAATAAAAAACAGGCAGAACCCAGTTGTTCCTGATTTTGAACCCTGTGTTACACATCTGTATGTGGTGCTCACTTTACCAGGGAACATGTGTTGTCCATATTTAGCATCTCTACTTGTATTAGCATTCCCAAATTTCAAAACTTTTGTCACTAGGCACCTGGGACTCAAAACTACTTCCAGGAAACCAAAGTGCCCAGGTAGAAATGCAAATAATGCTTATCTCTGCACAAAAATAGCCGACGAGCAACTCACACTGGAAAACATTGCAGGCGTGTAAGAATCAGCACAGGGATGCCCAAGACGCACGAGACACAGTCTTGTAAGAATGTAAAAAAAGGGACACTGTGGGGGATGGCTGTAGTCACTTTACCTAAGTCTAGAGTGGACCAGCAGGAAACAGTAAGGCTGGCGTTGGGGGCAGAATTTGCACGTGCGCCCAGAAAAGGCCAGGGAATATGGGGCGTGAGAACCAGTGCAGCCTGTGGTGAAGGAGAGCGTGATGTGATCTAGAGTGAAAAGTGAGGAGTGGGCACGAAAGTACTGGGAAGTGGCTCGGAGATGCGCAGCAGTTAGGAATCGGTGGGTCCGAGGTAACCAGGCGTGCAGAGAAGACCCGGGTGAGAAGGGATGAGGAGGGCCGCGAGAAGCCACCCTCCACCCCGGGAGTGGGAGGTCCAAGGACCGAAAAGGCGGGAGATAATCCGAGCCTGGGGAGGTGGTGGGGGAAGCCGGGGCTAAGGGAGGGGTCTGCAGGCAGGCCCAGGGCGCCAGGACCCCAGCTACCTTGAGGGCTTCCAGCCGGTAGCGCTGGGTGGAGCTGGGGTCCATCATGACCGTCACTGCTTTCACCAGCTCCTCGCACAGCGCGTTCACTTGCTCCATCTCCATGGCTAGCGCCGGGAATCCCACCAGCGTCCCGGGAGCACGAGGCACGCACGGCTCCCAGGGCGGGACCACACGTTGATACCGGGCCGCGGCGGGCTGGGGGTGGGGAGCGGGAGGAGGAGCGTGAGCTGCAGACGCCGGAGCTGGGACCGACCCAGCGCTGCGCACGCGCCCGACTCGTCACTGCGCATGCGCACGCGGAAGTGGCGGCTCCCTGGTGACGGCGGCGCGCGGAGGGGCGGGGCGGGAGGCGGAAAGGCCAGGGTGCGCATGCGCGTCAACCGCCTCACCCCGCGCGCGGGTTGCGGGTAATGCTCACCTTCTCGAACCGCGGCGGCTGTGTCCTCCGCGAGATCCTTGGCCTGCTTCGGGGAAGGCGACGAGACGGTCCACAGCATCCGCCGTCCGCGCTGTGACAGGTGTGTCGCCTCTGGTAAGAAAATCACAGCTTGTTGGGAATCGCGCTTTCGAACTTCTTGTCTAGGATGTTGGTTTCTAACTAATGCGACTGAACACACTGGGGCGGCATGAAGTGAAAGCACGCTAGGGATAAGGCCCTGAGATTGCCGGTAAGATTTTTCTTATAGAAAAAAGCTCATTGTTATCTTGCACATGGTAAGCCTTCCTCTAAATGCGTATCTGTTTTCTTGAACGTATTACTACTGACTCATCGACTCCAAACTTACTTTGTGCTGGGTGGGAAATATTCAAATGCCGGGAATGGTGGCTCAGATCTGTAATCTGAGGTAGGAGAAATCTTTTGGAGTTCGAGGCCAGCCTGGGCTACACCGTGAGACCCTGCCTCAGAAAGCCAAACACAAACAGAAAAAAAAACCAAAACAAAACAAAACGCCAAAGCACAGAAAAGCAATTCATTGTGTCACCCTGCATGTCTGTTTTTGTGATTTTTAAATGTTTTACTTTGTAAAATGATTGTGAGTGATATCAGTGCCTGAAATCACTGCCTCCTGTTTTACTTCTGGTATTTATGGCTAATATGATACTGGCCCTGTGTTGTTTTTGACAAAACATTTGCCGTTTTCTGGCTTTATCTGTCCTAGACCTACAGAAAAGCCACTTCAAGGTAAAGAGATGTCTGGCATGTTAGGGTTTTTACCAAAAATCGCATTTATAACTGAGTGGTTGGATATTGTCCAGAACATTCTATTTTCCTCAATTGTTTTCTGTACCCCAGATTTCCCAGCTTTGTAGTTGTAGTTACTTGACACTGTTTTCAAGGTGAATGTTAATTTGTAAAAGAAAAAAAAAACTTTAAAAATACGGTTGGGCACTCACTCAGCTGTATAACCTGTTTCTTGTATTTAAATCATGAATTTCTACTGTTTATGTAAATATTTATGATAGGCCAGTGGTATGCAAACTCTGCTATATGTATATTAGAATTGACTTGAGAGCCTGTAGAATCATGATGTGGTGACTTGAGAAAATAAAAAGAAACTAGGCGCCATGAGTGCTCAGACACCCACAGCCCACTTGTTAAAACTTAACAGAAACCAGGACCAACCTTATCTAAAGGCTGCAAGACAGGCAGGCGCCGGTCAAGCTTCACAGATCAAGCTGTAAACAGGCTTTACGGTCAGAACTCCTGACCCCCCCTGAGGGCCCGATACCAGGAAATCTTAAGAAAACATCTGTGTCACTGAGGTCACCTCCCATTTAACAATCCCACTTCCCCTCAGCCCCTGCCCTTACCCCATATCTTTGCATACTTTTGAAATTACTGGTGAAATTGCTGTGTGTGTTTGAAATTAACCAATAACCGCATTTCTGCTTCTGTACCCTGCTTCTGCCTTATAAAAACCCCCTGAACTCAACCTGGGGCGCGCAAGTCCTCCGAGGAGACTCTGTGCCCACAGGTACCTGTGTCCTAAATAAACCTCTTGCTGTTGCAACCCAAAGACTGACTTGTCCTCAGTGGCCTCGCTCTTACACCATAATCCTTTGCTTTTGCATTTTGGTGTGTTGGGTCCTTGGTGGTCTTTTTGGGGTCCAGTGGATGAGGTACAACAGTTATACTTTC